CAGAGCTGGCTGCATCACAGCCCCCCTGTTACCCCCATCCCAGAGCTGGCTGTGTCCTGGGGTCTAAGTCACCCCCAGCCGTGCCCAGAAACTCCTGTGATTGGTTCGCAGCTTCCGGGGGGTCCCCAAAAGAGATCACCCCCGAAACACCCCCCCACATGGGTCTGGGTGCAGCTCTGAGACCGGGAGACCCAGCAGTGGGGGAGACACCACAACAGGGACTGCATGAGTAATAATAGTAGTAATAATAGTGATGACCCTAACAATAGGAGTAATGATAGTAATAATAGCGGCGACCCTAGTAATGGGAGGAATAATAGTGGTAATAATAGCAATGATCCTAGTAATAGGAGGAATAATAATAATAATAAAAGCAATGACACTAGTAATGGGAGTAATGATTATAGTAATAATAGCAATGATTCTAGTAATAGTAGTAATAACAGTAATAATCATAGTAACAACACCCACTAATGAGTGTAATAATCATAGTAACAAGGGGGAGGCAGTGCAAACTGGCTGTGAATGAGCATGACACAGGTGTGAGTAGGCATGTGGCAGAGCAAGTGTGAACAGGTGCGGGCCAAGCATGAGCCCAGCAGAACTGAGTGTGAACAAGTGTGAAACAAAGGTGCATACATGCAAGTCACATGGGGCCTTGTGTGGGTAGGTGTGAAACATGTGGATCAGCATGAGCAAGTGCCAGCACATGTAGACCAAGTGCAAGCAGGTGTGGACCAAGTGTGAGCCACATGTGGACCCCTGGTGATTCATGTGGGATCCCCATGCAAAGCACCTGTGAGCAGGTGTGAACCCCATGTGAGCTGAATGTGGAAAAACACAGATACATGAGAGCCAAGCGTGAACAGATGCAGACCAGGTGTGATCTCAGTGTAAACCCACTGTGGGCAAGTGTGAGCTCTGTGTAAACCAGGTGTGGACTCCATGTGAGCAAACTGTAAACAAATGTGAATTGAGCGTGAGCAAAGTATGAGCTGAGTTGAACAGGTGTGAAGAGTGTGAACCAAGTATGAACTGAGAGTGAACCAAGTGAGCTGAGTGTGAACCACATGTGAGATGAGTGGGAACAAGTGTGAACTGTGAACAGTGTGAGCCACCTGTGAACACACATAAGCCAAATGTGAGTCCAGTGTGAGCTGAGTGTAAACACATGTGAGCCAAGTGTGCACACATGTGAATCATGGTGTGTGCTGCTTGTACCCCACCATGAGTGCCAGCAGGGCCACATGTGGGCCACGTCCAAAGCTGAGGTCACGTGTGTCCCGGCACCGTCTCGAGGGCTCCAGGCCTCCAGCTGGGAGGAGCACGGCCCGGAGAAGGGGAAGGATCCTGACCCGCATTCATCCTGGTGCCCCCCCACCCTCACGGTGGGGGGTGGGGGTCAGAAGGCACAGCGGGAGTTTGACATGGGGCCTCTGGATGTGCATCTGGAAGGGAGAACCCAGGCATCCTCATTTGTGACCCCACCAAGGGATGGTTCCCCCCCACCACCACTGCCCCAGAGAAGGAACTCAGGTGTCCAGGCCACCCACTAGTGCCCTCTGACCCACCCTGGG